CAAGAAAGTGCTCTCCCACTGTCTGAATACCATCATTTAGTTAGCCGGTCCTCTGCTGGGAACTATGTAGACGATTCCGGTCTCATGCTGGGCACGCGACTCTGCAATTAGTGTCCCTTTCAGAGATGTCTCCCCGTCTAGGTGGATCTCCTTCTACGGGAGAAATTCCTCGCGGCTGAACTGCCCAGTCATAGGGCAGACATGTTTTTAAATTTTGAACTAATTGCCTAAGTGTTCTCTGAGGTCATACCTACCTACTGACATTCAGAAAGGTAACCGGCAGTGAGCCCTGGTTTTTCCCACCCCCCGGCAAAGGCCAGCTACTATCAGGCCTCCTGATCTTTGCCTTGACAGACAGCAGGAGAGGCGCTCACCACTCGCCGTAGCTCCAGTCTGCTTATTCTGCCCCTTCAGTCAGGTTGGGGATTTAGAAGTGTATCTACAGGCCATTTGTGTTTCTTTTCTGGCAGCAAAGCCTTCCTGTCCTGTGCCCATTTTTTTCTGTGGGGCAGTTGTCTTTTGTATTCATTTATAAGAGCTCTTTTACATACTAAGAAAATTAGGTTTCTGTTTCTTATATATGTTACAAATAAACATATTTAAAAATACAGATATATCAGACAAAGATGGGATTCCCCCTGCGCACAATTTTTTGAGGCCTTTTTTGAGGCTTATGGTCATTTGATCATATACACTGTGGACCCCCTTTCCTATCGCTAAATAGGCCTTTGCAACAAAATTATTTATTTGGTACTTATTTAAAAATCACTCTGGGTACATTGGGAGTTCTTCAGAAGCAAATGGCTACGGTTTACGTGGACACGAGTGTCAAGGAGGAGGGTTGTGAAGCATCTGATATTTTTATTCACCACCTATTTCTGTATGTTACTTAATCTAATCCTCTCAACAATATTGTGCAGTAAGTAACTTCATTCCCATTTTATAGATGAGGAAACGGAGGCCCAGAGAGGGGTCCTGGGATTTGCCCAAGGTGTCCTGTGGATCTGTGGCCAGTGGGATTCGAACTCATGTCAATCTGTCTCCCCAGACTTCGTTGCCACCTTCTAGTACCTTAAATCCCCCCTTCCCCAGCTAGTCTGGATGAAGAACAACTCTGGGCCAAGTCCCCACCCCCAGGCTAAGGAGTGTCTGTACTTTAGGGATAAGGCCACCAGGAGGCGCCAGGGACACATCCCTTATCAGGCTTGTGGGGCTGGCAACAGGCTAGATCCAGGCACCCTGACATGGGACCGTCCCAGGGGGCCTGCTGATCCTGGGGGCTCGGGGGCCGGAGGCAATTGCCTCCTGCAATGCACAGGACACCCTCCCCAACCTTAACCTCCCCTGAGAGAACATTGCGGCCTCCCAGATGTCTGGCCCTGAGCCATCCCCTCGGATGGTTCCAGCGTCAGCACTGTTGACCCTCAGGGCTGCATAATCCTTTGCCCTGGGGTCTGTCCTAAGCGCTGGAGGATGTTTAACGGCCTCCCGGCTTCTACCCATTAAATGCCAGCAGCACCTCCCCTCAAGCTGTAGCAGCCCTAAATGTCTAGACACTGCCGCGTGCCCCTTGGTTGAGAAGCCCCACTGCGGACCTTCAGGGCCCAAGGGGTCACCTGAGAGACCAAAGCAGGCCCTGCCTGAGGTTATTAGGTAGCAGCCTGGGGGGTGAGACTGACGCCAACCTTTGCTTTACAGGTGAGGAAATAGGCCCAGAGAGGTTCGGTGACTTGCCCAAGGCCACACAGCCTGTAGGTAGCAGAGCTGGAGCTTGAACTGGGTTGTCAGGCTCTAGCATCTGTGCCTTTAACCACCGAACTCTACGGCTGCTCAGGAAAATAGGCATCTTCACTCCTCAGACCCACGGGAATATGCTCTTCCACACACACAAAGATACCTTCTCTCTCGGCTTTCTCTTTACCTATTTTCGTTTTTCCACTTCTGAGGGACAGCTGGGTGCAAGGGATTTTGCGTTCTCCTTATAATTGCACTATGAGAAAAACCCAGGGAAAATGCCATGATAAATGGCAGCTGACACCAACCTCAACATCAGGAAGCCCCTGGGGACCAGTGGGGACTGCGGTGTCCCGGGGCCCTCAGTGGGTCCTGGCACATTGTTTCCTTGTATGTGCGCTGGCTCAATTTTGCACAAGAAGTCAAAAATCTAGAGTTCTAATGCGAAATTTCATAATTTTTAAATAATGACAATCAATTAAAAAATGGAAAACCCTGTGACAACCAAACAAAACAAGTCTGAAGCCCAATACGGCCCCAGAGGTCCCAGTCTGCTGCGTTTCTGGAAGGCACATTCAGTGTCCGGGAACAAACCCTTTCATCTTCTTAGCCCCTTCTGCCTTCCGTCATCATTTGTTTAATTAATTACTGACATATTCATTCCACACACCCGCGCATCTATCCATCCATCTACCCACCATCTATCCATCTGTCCTTCCGTCCATCCGCCCAGCTCCTCGTCCATCCATCCATCCACCCGTCCTTCCATTATCCGTCCATTCACCCGCCCATACGTGAGGAAGATGGTGACCTAATCCCTTCCCTCTAGAAACTCGCCATCTGCTTTAGGAGAAATGAGAGAAATGATGCCAACCACAGGTAAGGATGGAACCAAACTGTTAGATTCGGACTTTGCCACTTACCAACTGGGCAAAGTTGGGCAAAGGATTCCACCTTTTGAACCTGTTCCTCGCCTCTGAAATGGGGCTAATGATAGTGACCTAGGACTTGACTGCAGGCCGGCTGTCAGGGCCAGGCTGGGTCAGGTAACGCACTCGAAGGGGGCACATAGCAGGCCCTCTACAGTCACGGTGGTGTGATCCACGCCAGGCTGCTGGGAGGTGGGGGCTGCGAGGTTGGACAGGCTGCTGGCCCAGACTGGGGGTCTGGGGAGGCTTTGTGGAAGTGGCAGCACCCAGAATGTCCCACGGTGCCCTGTGCTGGGGGAGGGTTGCTTTGTCATTATTCGTACAACTTCCCCCAGGTCGGCTGACACCCACCACTGGCCGCTGCCCGGATGGCTCTGGTTTTCCCACTCTTGCTTCACTTCTAAAGGGCGGCTTTTTCTCTGAGCCCCCGCCCCGCCCGGCCCCGCCCTGGTTTGTGGGAAAACTGTAGGGTGCAGAAAGGGCTCGCGGGCTCCCTTTTCTAGCCTTGTTGTTATTTTCTTCCCATTTAAATGGAAACAATGCTTATTAAAGAAGAGGAAGAAAAAACACATCAAACAAGAAAGAAGAAAAATTATTCTTTTTCCCCTCCTTCTAATGCAACCACATTGAACATTCTGTTTTTATTCTTTCTCCTCAGCCAGGATACCGGTGTGTGTGCATGCATGTGCACACATGTGCATGCACACACACGCACATGTGTGCACATGTGCCCAGATGTAGATCAGGCTGCTCCACTATTTAGTGTTGTGTTTTTGAAAACTTTTCCATCATATCATGAGCATCCCCCCTCCCCCCACCTACTGCTCATCTTCATAAACTTATTTGAAGGGCTGCAGTCATTTATCCAGCAAGTGTTAAGTGAGCAACTACTACAGTCTGTGAAAGAGATGGGAGATGGGGCAGATCACAACAATCAGCCAACCTTTACTGAACGTGAACTCTGGGCCAGATGCTGTTCTTATCACTTGCATTAAACCTCCTTTTCCTCACATCCGTCCTATGAGGTGTGTGTCACCAAAACGTCCATTTTCCAGATGACAAAACTCTGGCCCATGGTATTACAGCTAAGAGGGGAGCCAGCATTTGAATCCAGGTGGGCCATCACAGGGCCTGGATTGTGGACCACTTTGTCACCCACAAACAGGTGACCTCAGTCCTGAGCGGTCAGAGCTGGGCCAGGGATGTACAGGAGCGTGTTGCCGTCCTGAGGAGGGGCCAGGCCCACCTGGGGCATCAGGAAAGGCTTCCTGGAGGAGCAGGTGACTTCTCCGATGAGGAGGTGGGAGGTGAAGCTGCAGGCGGAGGGAGCAGCGATATAAGGACCGGAGTCAGGAGTGGACATGGAGTGCAGACCAGCTGGCGACGCTGACCCTGACTGTGAGGTGGGGGGGCCAGGTAACGCAGAGGCTGTGGGCCCCAGGGAGCCCCAGGGAGCCGGCTGGGGAGGCCTTCTCCCACCCTAGGCCGGGCAGCACCCCTGCGGGCCCCCCAGCCTGTCTGTCCCCCACTGTAGCACCCAGCACCTTGGGCACTTCTTGCCTGTTTGTCATTTCTCCGCCATTCTAGACTGAAGAAAGTTCTGGAAGGAGGGAATCTGAACAGACTGGTTCACTTCTGTGGTCAAGACCTCAGTCAGTGCCAGGCAGGTGAACGCCCCGGGATGAGGTGACGGCAACCAGCACGTGCTGACACCGCCAGGACCTGGCAGTGGTGCCTGTCACAGCCACGGAGACTGGGCCCTCCTGTGGCCCCCGCGGGCCCCTCGGGGCACGAGGCCTCTTCGGGATGTGCCTGAGCCTTCAGATTTGCCAGGACTTTGCTCCGACTTGCCCACAGTGTCTTGTTTGCTTTAGAAGAGGCTCCGGTGAATGTGCCAGCCCTCTCTGGGCGCTCTCAACACGTGCCTGAAGGTCGCAGGGAACCGCGGAGGGGCGGCCTGTGTGCGGCGGCCCCCAGCCTCGGCCCCTTCCCAAACCTGTCTGGGACCCAGCACGGATTCACCCTCCTGGGGTCCGCACCGCCTGCTGCTGTCAGTGGGGAGAGCCTTGGAGGGGCGGCCGCCCCCTCCCCAGCTCGGCGAGGGCCTCCAAGGTAACTATCGACTCCCATCCCCCTTCGCCAAGCCTGCTATCTTATCAGCTCAAACACTTCAGAGTTCAGGCCAAGAAGCCAAAGTCAATTCTGAAAAAGTCTTTAAAAGGCCAAAACACAAACACCAGGGAGGCTGTTTGGTGGGGGATGGGAGGGGTGAGGTGGAGATGAGACTGGGGAAGGGTGAGCCTCAGTCCCTTCAACAGGCTCAGAGGGGCCCTGTCCCGGGCCCTGTTTGCCTGGCGGAAGTCTGGAGCCACCCTCCGTGTCCATCAGGAGGGGAAGGGACTAACACCTACCCAAGTGCCACAGGGTCTCTCAAAAGACCAAAACCCTTTCACACGCGGTGACGCGGAACTGGATTGTGCAGCGGCCGTGAGAGAGAGCAAGGGCCCAGAGCCGGGCGCACAGGCAGGTCCTTCCTGTGCGAAGGGTTAGGGTGGGCCATCCCTCCACGTGCCTGTGTAGGTACAGAACGTTCCTGGAAGCATCCCCCCCGCCCCCGCCCCCGCCCCCGGCGTCTGGAAACGCTCGCTTCCCCTGGGTCGGCAGTTGGGAGGCCGCAGATTCATTTCACACAGCTCGTGCCTTCCGAACGACTTCCCACCGCGGTGCTGTGATGTTACAGAAATAGGTAAGTACTGAGATATCACAGAGATAGATGCGAACGTCAGCGATCTTGTTCCGGGCAAATGCCCAGCAGCACAAAAAGATGAGCTGCAGGAGGTGGCGTGACTTCGGGCGCAGGTCAGACCACTGAAGGTACAGCTCTAGGGGGACCCTCGGCCTGTCGAGATCCCTCTCAGTGGGGTTTAACCACAGGCGAGCAGGGCTTTCGAAGTTCTCTCCTGTTTCATGCACCTGGCTGCTTAAAATGCACTTTCAAAACACCATCTCATGGGAACCCCTCCAAGATTCTATAAAGTAGAATCGGATCACTGTGGAGACCGATGAATTAAACCAACAGATATTTATTCTGTTGGGAGATGAGGATGTGGTGACGAACAAGGCAATCCAGACCCCTGATCTCGTGGCGTGGGTGGGTCGGGATGGAGTGTGGGACAAATAACAAGCAAGCAACAGCAGCCATGCAAATGTGGCCATTCCAGATCGTTAAAGGAGGAGGGAAGACAATGAGACTGGGAAATGCCACTGACGGTGGCTGGTGTGGGGAATGGTCAGCGAGGGGCTCTCGGAGGAGCTGGCACTTGAACCGAGACAGGGATGGGGAAAAAAGAACCCATGGCAAGAAAAGCAGGCGGAGGACGGTACCAGGCAGCGGGAGCAGGCCGTGCACAGGCCCCGCCGAGGCTACACCAAGCACTGCTGTAGGAGGGACCGAGTGGTGGCCCGCTCGGCTGGAGCTTACACAAGGAGCGGGAAGGGTTGGGAGACCCAGTGGGAGCGGTTGGCAGAGGTGGATCCCATGAGCCTCGTGGGCTTGGAGAGGAGTCTAGATGAAGCAGGGAGGCTCAGAGAGGTTAAGTAATCTGTCCAGCGCTGCACATTTAACAGTGGCTGCGCCAAGACTCAGACCGGGGTTTCCCAACTTCCTATCTAGTCCTCTAAACAGTCACATATGTCTACATGTGGCAAGAGCACAAAATGCGTGTTTCCATTCAGCAGAGCCCATGTTCTGAGAACACTGCGGGTTTTTTTTTTTAATTGCATAGAAAAGTGTGTGCATCACAGAGTGAACTGTCACCAAGCGGGCACACTCGTGTGAGCAGCACTCAGATACAGAAACAGCACTCCAGAAGCCCCTTTGACGTCCCCTCCCACCCAGGGAGCCCCCCCCCATCCCAAGTTCAACCAAAGTCCTGAATTCTAAGCCCAGAGATCAGTTTTACTGCTTTTGAACTTTACATTAATGGAATCACACAATCTGTGTGCCTTCTCGTCTGGCTTCTTTCACTCAGCGTTACGAAGATTCATGGCATTTCAGCAGACTTTGCCTGTGTTACAGGCCAGACGGAGATACCGTGTGAGCCATGCGAGAGCTGCCCCTACAGAGTGGGCCAGGAGAAAGCAGCTTCCACGGGAAGCCGTTCTAAGGGCGTCACTAGGCGAAAAAGTAAGGCACAGAACAGCACAACCCATTTTTGTTGGGGTGGGAGGTGGGGCGGGGTGGTTTCCTTTCATGTAGAATCAAAATGACCCTAGAAAATACATTGAATTCTCTCTCAACCCTACTGCGTGCCATGGGCTCTTAGTGTGTTAAAGCCACTGAATGGAGGGGCTGTCTGTGTGCCTGGTGACAAAGAATCTGCTAGCCTCACTCACCTGTGCTGTGTAGATTCTCTCTCACTCCTCCACCCCATTTTTGGCCCATAAGTTGCAAGAACTGAGGGATTTTTGTCTATTTTGTTCAGTTATACTCCCAGTGCCTAGTACATAGTGAATACTGGTTGAGAGTGAATGGAGGACAAATGAAAGAACTGAGTGAAGCAGTCCTGATGGAGGGTGACAGAGAGAGGTGGGGACGATGGCTAACTGGTAGCCCTTGTCCCATCAGAAAGGTGCAATGACCACCTGCATACACCCGAAGTTTCCACGTGGGAACGTGGGCCCAGGGTGGCTGAGCTCCAAGTATAATATTTTGGGGGAAGGCAGAGACGTCTGCCTATGTGTGAAATGTCTTGGTACCATTGCTGATCAAAAATTCCTATCCGATGCTAACCTAGGGTGAGGTGCTGTTCTCCGTGATCTCTAACCGAAGGCAAAAGGCTTCCCGATGTGTCCCCTAGAACCCCAAAGTTCTGGGAAAGCTGAGTGGAGTCCCAGGAGAGGGTGTTGAACAAGCCGACTTGGCCTTTGAGTGCTTCTGAGAAACGAGTGGCATTTTCATATTTAAGTTCTCGAAGCGATTTGATTTCAGGGTAAGTTCCTTTCTCTCCTAATAACTCTCAGTTCCACCCTCTTATTTATACTGAGCCTGGGCATCTTTCCTCCACTCCGGAGCAAAGATCAAAAGTAAATATTGGCAGAACATGGGTTTACTGTAACCCAGATAAGGAACAGCATAGAACAAAAATAGAGAGACTTTCGTGCCCCTCCCACAGTGTCCACCCCGACCAGACTTCCTCAATATTTGTTTATTAATTTTACTTCAGACAAATGCCCGGGATGCATGTTGTCGCCAACTGGGTGAGCCCTGCACTGGTCCAGGGGCTCCTCTTTATACGTGACCCTGGGGACAGCGCCCCCTGCAGTCCTACCGTGGTTGCCTGCTGCATTTATTGAGATCATCGTTTGGGGGGGCCTGGGGAGGGGGGTGGGGGGACGTAGGAATCCTTTTTGCTTTAACAAAAATGTCTGTCTTGTAGAAGTGAGACATGCACATGGAGAAAAATTCAAACAGTGTGAAAGGGCAATAGTGAAACATGTCTCCCTCCTGCCTTCCTCTCTTCTTTCCCCACTGCCCTCTCCGGAAACGCTTCCTGTTGTCTGTTTCTCACCTGTCCTTGGAGATGGACACACGAATCTTTTTCACTCTCCGAATCTCTCTCTCTCATACACACACACACACTGTAACATTTCTTTCTGTTTCCTATGTTTCTCTATCATTTCTTTGGCAACAGTGGTTTATGTGAGGGGGTCAGCAAACTCCAGCCCGTAGGCCAAATCCCCTCTCCTGCATGGTTTTGGACAGCCTGCAAGCTGAGAGCAGTTTTTACATTTTCTTACATTTTTACGTGGTTGGGGAAGAAAACATCACAAGAAGGAGAATACTTCATGATACATGGAAATGATGATGTTAAAATCTCGGTGTCCATCAATAAAGTTTTATTAGAACACAGTCCTGACCGTGTATCCGAGGGCCGTTGGTGGCTGCTTTGTGCTATTGTGGCACACTGCAGCATTCGTCCTGGGGATCACGTGGATCTTTCTGGAAAAGGTCTGTCTATTCCTGGTTACTACTGTACACACCACCATAGACCCCAGAGGTCTTTTGATATTGGCGTGTATTAATTTCCCTCATTCCTTTGAACCAAAGCTCTAGCATAGCTCATTGTGTTGCTGGGCTGCGATTTCTCTGTCCAGTTCTTCCCGTGGGCCCTCAGATTCCTGTGTAAACAAAAAGAGCTCATGTCTGAGGAAAGTGTAAAAATTCCCAGCAAGGACAAGAATCCCAAGCGGTCACTCAGTTTAATATTTGTATCTTGTGCTTTCAGAAATAGTATCTGTGGCCGCCGACGGCAGGAGGGGCAGGCCCCGTGAAGCCGTGAAGCCACGGAGACAGAGGCGGCGTACCAGGAAAGGACTGGACTCAGGCCGCCTGCCCTTCCCGGCTGAGGAAGCCTGGATTACATTTGAGCTGGAGGCTGGATTTGAATCATATTTGCAGATGATGCAAAAATCTTTGTGGGTGTTTATATTCCTCCAGAGGGAGGTTGAAGGCAGAACGCCTTTGAGAAGCTGGAAAAAAGGCCAAGCAGGATAACACAGAACAGTGTTTCCTATTCTTACAACTGCCAAATCCTGAAGTAGATGAAATATTACTTACCATTTTTCTTTAACTGATGTAGTTAAAAAAAAACTATAATAGTTTCATCTGGAGAAATAATATCCACGGTTCTGATGAGTTAGTGATATGCGTATGTTTCAAACTCACATAAATATTTAATAGATGCTAAAATTTAAAATGCACACACACACACAACCTCATCTGCGTACCACCTACAATAATATTGCAAACCAGCAGTGGTGTCTCTATTAAGCGTGTTTAAATGCTGGGTGTCAGACTCTGAGGGTTGCCTGGCCAATGGCCATGCCTCCCCTCCTTCCTGCTGACACCCTGAGTTTTATCTGCGGCCCTGGGAAATAAGCCACACTTGGTTTAAGGGAGTCATGTCCATTGTGCTCTCCCTGACCTGTGATGGGCCCAGGAGCGGCCATGTGACCCAGGTCTGGCCAAAGGGAAACTGCTGGGGGGATTCTGGGAAGCATTTCCTCTCTGATAAGAAAGAGGCACACGGAGAGAGACGTATTTGCCTCTTTCCCTTCCTTCCTGCTTCGGACATTGTTGTGTGACGTGATGAGTGAGCTGTGACCGTCACTTTGTGACATTAGGTGACCAGCCTAGGGACAAGCTAGTGACTCGCTGATGGCGATGGTGGGAAAGGAGAGTGCAAAGAGCCTTGGTCCTTTATGAAGTCTCCGGATGCCAAATACACCCCTGAGTCTCTACGTGCCAGGTGCCTTCTCAGTCAGCGACAAGCGTGGCCACAGCCTGAACGACCCTGACAGGGCCCATCGGTCTTGGGCACCGGCACCCTTGGGCGCTCGACTTGACTTTCCCCAGCCTTAGTTTGCTTGTCCGTAAAAGCACTAATAGTAATACTACTCAGACAGTGATTTTTGAGGACAGAGAAATTTAAATTCACATCGCGCACTTAGCATAAGTGCTGCCGTTGCTATGATTGCGATTCTTATTGATTATTGTCTCTATAATATTTAGAGAATCCTCTAAAAACAGGGGGAAAGGCAACATGGACAGAGACAGGAAGTTGATGGCACCTAATTAAAGGCCACCAGCTGGGCACAGAAAGAGCAGAAAATGATGCGAGTGTCAAGAGCTGACTGAAAGCTGCTGTGGATGAGTCAGAGCTTCAGTAAACATGGAAGCCCGAGGGTGGGGGCGTGGGGGGTGAGGGGTGGGCAGGACCACAACGTGATAGGCAGGGTCCTGGCTATGAACCTTCTGTTCCTCGATTCGTGACTCACACCTTTCCAGGAGCAGGGGCTCTGCATTTGGTTAACTCATCTTTTTAAAGGATGTGGGAACGGGTCCTGAGTCCAGAGGCACGGAGACCATGGCCTGAGGGCTATTTACGTAAGAGAGCAGAAGGCCTCAGGACCGAGGTCATACTGCCGAGTGTGTAATGTACGAAGCAGCTGTTGGTCAAGTGTACAATAGACCAGGAGGGACAGTGTGAGCAGAAGGAGCCCTGCACGATGAGTCACTGAACTCGTGACTCCACAGGGGACCCAAGACCCAGGGAAGTTCCTCTCCGTTTCAGACCTCAGTCTCTCCACGAGCACAGTGGGGATCTAGGGCAACCTATGGTCAGTCCTGTGACTATGACGGAGAAAAATGCGTCTGGCTGCAAGGAACCGGAAATCCAATGGACCATGGCTCAGACAAGCTGGCGTTTATTTCCCTCACATAATATAAAGTTCTCAGGGAGGTAGCTGTTGGTCTTGACTTCATGGCTCGAGGGCATCAGGGCTCTTGCTGGCATCTCTGCACTCCTCTTGGCTTCTCCCTTGGGGCTTCAGTATAAATGCTTCTGTTCTTCTTAAGGGAGGAACAAGGAAGAAGGGCAGCACCAGATATACTGTCCCTTTTAACCCAAAGTAAAAGCTTTCCTGGGGCCTAGAGAAGAGCTCCTCTCACATCTCACTGGGCAGAGCCGATCACATGACTGATCCCAAGCCTGCCTTAGCTGCAAGGGATGCTGAGTAGGTGAGGACATGGGCACCACTGTGAAAGGTGAAAGTGAGGAGGAAATGGGTGTTAGGTCTTCTGACTACAGGGTCTCAGGGCAGCAAACTCCTAATCCTGGCTGCCCACAGCCTAAGGCATCCGTCTGCCTGTGGCCCCTTCCAGCTAGCACTGCAGTTGTGAGAACAAGACCTCAATTCGAATCCTGACTCCAGCACTGGCCATCTGTAGGACTGGGGGAGAGTCGCCTCCTGTCCCTGAGGCTTCGTATCTCACCAATACAAAAAATAGAATCCGATTCCTACCTGTGGCTTCAGGGCTGACCTCATGGGAAGGCACCCTGTGCAGTAACACAACACCCCATGCCCTGAAGGGCCCTTCCCTTGGTTTACTGCTCTGCTATCGCCATCTTGAAATGCTCAACAATTTCGGAGCAAGGGGCCCTGCGGTTTCACCCTGCACCGGGTCCCTCTAATCCTCAGGGGGTTCTGCACTGTTTGTCAAGCCCCCCTTCTGACCCCAGGTGGCCAGCCTCCCTGCTCCTCTCAGCCTGGTTTCCTGCTCCCATCTCTCCCCTCCTCACTCTGTTCCCACTGGACACCCTCTGCTCCCGATTGCTCAGATGAGCATGGCCGGGGGTGAGGGGGCTCTCTGCAGCTGAGGCAGCCCCTGAACTTGCTGGAAGCTGCCTGCTGACCACTCCCTCCAAGGCTGAGCAGCAAGGCTTTCCTGGAAGGCGCTCTGGGAGACACATGTTCATGTCTACCACTTTATTTTTTGTCTCTGAATATCTGTTTACCATCTCCTGGTAACACATGTTTTGGGAGAAACTTCAGGAATGAAGCAGCGCAACAGAGGGGTGAAAAGGCTGGGGTTTGGCATCAGCGTCTCATCGCTGTGTGGCCTTGAGCAAGTCACCTCACCTCTCTGAGCCTCCAATTTGTGTGACGTGAAGTGAGGGCAACAGTTATTTGCTTCCTGGTGCTGTTGTGAAGGTGAACAGGCTGGGAAAAGGCTTGGTACAGGGCCTGAGACCTGGTCATCATTCGGAAGACGGTCCTTATTAGAATATCGAAACTCTTGAGTGAATAATGAACTTCTGTGGGAAGAAAACAAAAGGCTGCCTCTTCCCCAAAGTCAGCGCTGGTTTTCTCTCCTTGTAACGCTTTACGTGGATTTCTCATGGTCTGTTTTTGCCATGGCTGCTTGTTTTTCTGCCTGGAAGTAGCTATTTACCCACTTGCATCATTTGGGTCTTTGGTTGAAAGTGAGAAGCTCAACTCAAAGCAGCTTAAGAAAAATAAGTGTGAGCCCTGGCTGGTGTAGCTCAGTTGCGCGGAGCATCGTCTGGTAGCTGGGGGGTTGCAGGTTGGGTTCCCTGTCGAGGCACGTGTCTGAGTTGCGGGTTTGACCCCCAGTCGGGGTGTGTCTGGCAGACAGCCAGTTGATGTTTCTTTCTCACATGGATGTTTCTCTCTCTCCCTCCCTCTCTCTACAAGCAACAAAAGAGTGTCCTCGGGTGAAGATGTAAGGGAAAATGTGTATGAATGCATTGGTCTATATGAATGAAAAATCCTAAGATGGGCTGAGCTTCAGGAAAGGCTGGATCCAGATGAGCACCTGTTGCCTAGGAATCATGGTGCCTCCAACTGTCACATGTGCCACATGCAGTGAGAGTGAGGAGGAGCGATTCCTCAAAGGCAAACCACGGTGCTGGAACTAACAGATGGGTCGACGGACAGGGACAGTGGTCAGGTACCAACAACAGCAGGCCGCTGAGCAGCCCCCGCAGCAGTCCTGCTATGTCTACTCAAGGCCTCCTGTGGTGCTCGGTAAGTGTTTGTTAAATGAACCAATGATTGTACAAGTAAACTACCCACAGTAGAGTCGATCTGATTTATCAGGAAGGGGGTGATCTAAGGGCTGCCTTCTCGGGGCCAGAAGACAGATTCTGATGGCCCGTGTCCTGCTCACTTTTATTCTAAGCTCACAGGTTGGCATCATTTCCATGTCAAAGCCATGACTGCACCTGCCCCAGTGCAGAGTGAGACCTCCCCGCAGGCCCCCACCCACCGCAGGCCCAGGCAGATGACAGGTGGATCAAGCGCGGCTCACTCTGCCTCGTGGCAAATGCACAGGAGGCCCAGCCTAGGGACACGCTGAGCAGGGTCTGAGAAAGGCGGCTGTCATCGCAGCCCATTCCTCCTTGTTGGCCAGCACCAGCAGGCCACCCTTTTACTCGGTTCCTTTCCCATCAAGAGCTTCCCAAGCAGCCTCTGTGCCCGCGTCTCACCCAGGGTCCACACAGGCGATGCCCAGAGTGCGGTGAGCTCGGGGGCCTGGTAGACCTGGGCGCTCACGGCCGCAGCCCACTGCAGCCCCACGGAAACATGAGAGCAGTGCAGACACACCGTCTGTTTTCCAAGAGACTTTTCAGAGAGTTTAAGTTCACAGCCAGAGAGAGTGAAAAGCACAGGGAATGTCCACATCTCCCCTGCCCTTGCCACACACAGGTTCCCTGCTACTGACCACCCCTCCCCGCCGAGTGGGGCATTTGTTACCACCCGTGAACCCACATGGACACATCATTGTCACCCAGAGTCTGCAGGTGACATTAGGAGTCACTCTGCAGGGTGTGCATTCTTTGGGTTTGGACAAATACCAAATGACATCTATCCGCCATTCTAGTTTCACACGGAGTCGTTTCAATGCTCTGAAGTCCTCTGGGCTCTGTCCGGTCCTCCCTCCCTCCCTCTCCCGTCACCCCTACTGATCTTTTTAGTGTGTCCACAGTTCTGCCTTTTCTAGACTGATCCATTTCTTATGGCATTTTCTTATAATATCCATGGCTTCAGCTGCACTGACAGTGTCCGCTCTAAGAGTAGATGCCCAGGCCAGTCTGGTTAAATATTTTGAATATTATTCCTGGAGATACCCCTTTCTTTAAACGCTGATGATAAATTTTACCTGTAGGAAAACACTGCGCAGGCCAAACCAAACAGGCTGCGGCTGCGTTTGGCTCATGGGCCGCCAGTCCGAGATGTCAGATGTGGGGATGGGGAAGAGTGAGGCTGGCCCCTGGAAGACCTGGTCCCGCTCTGCCACTTCCTAGCCCGGTGACCCTGGGCTGGTTACCTTCCTCTCTGAGTCTATCTGTCAAGTGAAGGCCTCGAGCGTGTGATTTCCGAGGTAGGGACACACCCAGTGCCAGCCTCTGAGGTTTGATGGTCTGGCGTTTTTCACAGGTTCCCTCAAACTGCGGTATGCCGGGCTGCATAGATGTATTGCTCTTGCAAAAGTTGAAGACAATGACAATATTTCAAATCCCCGGAAATACATAGGCTTTGGGGTAGGAGAAGCGAGAGGCTGGCGGAGTGAGACTTGGTGCCTGTCTGGCTGCGCAAAGGGAAAACCAACTTCTCTGCATCCCAGGAACCCTCGTGGCAACAGCCATTCGGACGAGGGTTAGGAGCCAGGCTGCCTGGGGTCTACTCCCAGTTCTGCCGTGTACCGGCGGTGACCTTGAGCAAGCAACTTAACCTCTCTATGCATCCGAGCTTCCAGGGCTCTACTCTGTGTAATTGATGGCCACCCCTAAGGCTGGGCAATGCGTGTCTCTCCCTGATGGCCCTGCCGTCCTTGTCTGGAAGGTGAGGTTAACATTTGTGAGGTTTAAATGAGTTAACACACACAACGCACTTAAAGCAGTGCCCGGCACGAGGTAATGGCTTCCTAGGCGGCCACTAAGAGGAGTGCTGTTACCTCTGTTCTGAGCCATGTGCTTTACCGGCATCTAGCACAACTGGAATCATCCCGTTTTAAACAAGAGAAAACTGAGGCTCAGAGAGGGTCAGTCACTCACCCTGGGTGACCCAGCTAGTGAGTGGCAGGCAACAGCAAGAACGATCAAAGCAATAAGGTAACAGGACTGGAAACATCTAATACTGATTTAGCTCCCAGAGTTGTCAGGTGTTGGGCCTGCTGCTTTAAGCACTGCCCCCTCCTTTCCCGCTGCCCCCAAACTCCACTTGGGGCCAGAGAGAGGCTCAGCTCCAGGCAGGCCTGCAAGACAGTGAGTCTAGTAGTTCTTGGGGTTCATGCATGGGCTCCAGTGGGGCACCCTGGCCCTGTGACCAGAGCCTCACCCCTTCTTCCCCTTTTATCCTCAGATTTCAAAGCACTTGACACTCACACTCTAATTAGAG